GTCGGTCTAGGGTTTAGGGTTTAGCGTTTAGGGTTTAGGGTTTAGGGTTTAGGGTTTGGTTTTAGGGTTTAGGGTTTAGGGTTTAGGGTTGTGGGGTTTGGTGCCTGGGGTCTCGAGTTGAGGGTTTGCATTCGCAGCCCATACCCTAACTTTCCAGGTACCTACTATATAGGCTACTAGAGCCCCTAGGGCCCTTTATAGTAGGTACCTGGGGGGTTAAGGACAGTAGTTTTTACTATTATTAATGTTATTATTACTATGATGATGATGATGACGATGATGATGATGACGATGATGATGATGATGATGATGTAGAGCTTCAGAAAGAAAGGGAAGTTGCGGGCCCTTCCCAAAATTTCAACGCCCTAGCAGTCAAGGTGGCAGTCGTGACCTGATCATTGCAACAGGTGGAATTTTCTCGATGAGAAAATTCGGGCCTTTTGGGTTTCAGGAAGTAGGGCTGCAGAGTTTATTTACGAAACCAGGTGAGCACACCGAAGGGCGCACAAACTGGCCGGCAAAATCTAAAGCCCCGCACATCCTCCCGCTCCTTCCCCCGTCCATATGGCCTGACCCTAAACCCTAAACCCCTAAACCCCCCAGGTACCTACTATATATAAGGCCCTAGGGGCTCTGGTATGCTATATAGTAGGTCCCTGGAGGGTTTGGGTCACCCTGAGGGTGAGAAAGATCGCCTGGCCCCGGGCGCCCCTGACTGCCGGGCTTAGGGGAAAGGCGCTCAAGCAAAAGCAAAAATCAAAGGCCCTAGACCAAAGACTTATCAACCCGAAACCGTACACAGCCTATTTAAACTTTATATGCCCTAAGCCGTATACACCCTAAACCTTAAGAAGCCCTGAACCCTGAACCTTGTCAGCCCGAAATCCTCACCTCCATCAGCATTCTACCCCGGTATAGACTCTAGGTTCCAGATCCCAAACCTTACAATCCCTACTTAAAGGATCATGGGACTTAGTAAGTAGGGTTATAACTAAGGTAACTATACTTATAACCCCAATTAAGGGACTTATATTACGAAGTCGCATGATCCTCCGCCTGAACCCTAACCCCTACACCCTAAACCCTAAACTCTAAACCCTACTTACTAAGTCCCGTGATCCTCCAAGTAAGCCCTGAACCCTAAACCCTAACCCTAAACTCTGCCTGCGCTCTCGCGGAAGGTTTGATCATGTGCAGGAACAGTGATGTTACCACTTGTAGGTTGTAGTGTTGTGGGGTTCGAGTTTTTGTTTATGCATTTGGGAGTTTCAAGGTTTTGGGTTTTCGGGCCAGTTTTGGGCAAGGTTCAAGTTCAGGTACATGGTGATCATCAAAGAATACAGCGGATGTGCAGTGACAAGTGGCGGTTGTTGTTGGAATTGTGCCGTGCATATCAATCATAAAGCGCGGAGCATTCAACCGCTGAGCTGTATTCCCTGGACCAGACCCCGATATGGGAGTTTCCGAAAATTAGCGGCACCTTAATTGGGGGTCCTTATAATAAGGATCCGACTATTTGAGGTCCGTACTATATTCGGGTCCCCTATTTTAATTTTCGGAACCCCCCCATATCCATACAAGCCCATTGCTCTAGACTTTTCGGCACCTCAGACCGAAACCGAGGGTCGAGAGGATATTGATCTGAAAGAGCTCTTATGGGGAAAGTTTGCTGACTTGGGTTTAGGGTTTAGGGTTCAGGGATGCCTGGCAGGTCTGCGTCTTTGCTGAGCTGTACGACACCTGAGAAGACTCGACCATACTGCGAGCTGCGAGAATTTCCTGCGTTGTTCACAGTGCTTCGGTCGGTAGGTCTGAAGATCATCCGCACCAGCAGCACTACAAGAGAAGACGAAGTAGTAGTAGTCGTAGTAGTAGTAGTAGTAGTAGTAGTAGTAGCGAGCACTGTGGCATGCAGCATGAGTAATGGAAGCAAGTCACAATGCGAAGCACAGATAGTCATTTCGAAATGCACTCAAGCTTGGTTGTGACTTCCAAGTTCTAGAGTCTTTTAGTCACGCATCCACGTCTCCCTTAGCCTTGCAGGAGGTTCAAGTCTGCTTGGCCTCTTAGAACCCATCCAGCAGCCCAAAGATCTGGTGGCTTGGCACAGAAAAAGTCTGGGAAAGAGCAGCTGCACATGCTGTCGCTGCGCGACCACTGGCATGCATGAGTTGTGAACCAGCACCACCAACACTTGCGCCTCTGTAGGTCCCTAGTTGCAGTGTCTTTTTCTCTTTGCAGGGATCCACTTCGTCGCATTGTCGTACTGGAGTAGTAGCCTTTGCGTAGTTGATGAAAGACATGATGTAATGTTTAAGTTTGAATGATTACCAATTTAACAAAACATTCCTCAGGGTTTCTGATTATCTGTATACTTTAACCTAACCCCGAAACCCCATTCCAATGACTTCGGCTCGGATATTATCAGGTGGTCATGTCACTTTCAGTGCCTTACTAAGACTCCCTATCGATGCTCCCACCTCTGCTAATTCGAACAGCATCGGCTACGTCCACTGTGTTGGTTTAGTTCGGCACAATGACCCTGAACCCTAATCCCTAGTTTCTAAACTCTAATCCCTAAACCCTGAGCCCTAAACCCTAAATCCTAATCCCCATACCCTAAGCCCTGAACCCTAACCCTGAACCCCAAACCCTAAACCCTGAACCCTAAACCTTAAACCCTGGACCGTAACTAAACCCCAAGCCCTGAACCCTAAACCCTAATCCCTAAACCCTGAACCCTGAACCCTGAACCCTAAACCCTGAACCCCAAACCCTAAACCCTGAACCCTAAACAATGAACCCTAAGCCCTAAACCCTGAACCCTAAACCCTACCTGAACCCTCAACCCATAATCCCTAAACCCTAATAAGCCCCGATCCCTCAACATTAAACCCTGAAGCCCTAAAGCTCCTCGGGACACGCTGCATGGTTTTGCGGGACTCGTGGCCACCACCTACACAGCACACCCCGAGTCTTTGCAACGCCTGAAATCTGAGGTCTTCAAGTTAGTACTGACATGGCTCGAGGTTTAGGGATTAGGGATTTAGGGTTTGGGGTTTAGGGTTTAGGGGTTTAGGTTTCAGGGTTTAGGGGCATGTAGTCCCTATATGCTGGTAGTTATACTGTAACGTGCCCGAAAGTCATGTTAGAATCCCTGCACTAAACCCTAAACCCTAAACCCTAGAACCCTAAAACCCTAGGACTCCACCCTGAAAGGAAGTCTCCGAACGGCTTTGATTCTGGGCTCAAGCTGGGCAGAGGGCAGCTTCGGTTGATTACATACAGTCGCTGATGCTACGGTTGATGGACAAAATCCTGCATGACCTTATATACCTAAACTATGGGATCTATGGCACTATACTATATTTGGGTCATGCAGGATCAACAGTATGGCTCTGTGACTTCCAGTTTCATGTTGAGGCATGGTAGTTTGAAGAGGCATGGCAGAAATAGTATCGAAAGGGTAGAAGCAGATTCGATGCGGGTTCAGACGCTAGGCTACTTCTTGAAAACTGGCGAGTTCCAAAGTGTGAGGTTAGAGTTGCATGTCATCTCTGGTGCCATAACAGAGCCCCGTGAGATTTAGGGGCCACGTCATGGTGCATCTGTGTAGATGAGAAGGTTACAAAGTTTCGGGCTTAGAGCACTTACCAACTCATGTGCTACATCTTGAAGCCAGCAGAGATCGAGTCGCAATATGTAAGTACGACTGTCCCTTCACCGATTACCCAAGCATCAGAAGTCAGCGGACATGTAGAAACTTGCAGGTGGTCGAAAACACCTGATTGACACATTTTTCTAGAGAGACCTAGTAGAGACATCATTCCGAACACGTCTTGGTGTTCTCTGAAGCTCCTGGCAGCTCTCTGCAATCATGAAGGCCATGGGCAGTTCTGACGGTGGGGCTTTGACATAAGGCTTAAGGGTTTTAGGTTCCAGTGTTTAAAATAGGGTTTGTATAGTGTCAGAAGAAGCATTTCTAGCGTGACTATAGCATACCTGTAAGCAACCAACTAAAAGCCCTCAACACGCTAACAAAAACACAGTCATAACGAACAACTTCTAAGGTAGCGTGCAAGGAAGCTTGTAATAAAGCAAACCATGAAGAAGAAACCACTGGATGAATGCCATCGGTAATATAGGGACCTAAATCCCAAATAAGTGCTCTTTACTGTTTGGGGTGTGTTCCTTATTATAATAACGGTATAATACACCCCAAACCCTATTCTAATGATTAAGGCCCTTTCGTCAGATGAACCCTCGCCTCGCTGCTCACGGCTACTTCACTATTGGGCCTTCATGCCAAGGATCTCGATGATGATGGGGAGGAGGAAGAAGAACCGAAGATGACGAGGATGGGCATGGTGATGACAAGGATGACAAGGATGATGGTGACGATGGTCATCTTTAGTGCGTTATGAACATGCTGTGTGTTTGTTCTGCAGGCATGTTCAGCCAATCTTTCTGATACAGAACGGCGGTTGGCAGTAGGGGTTGCTTCTTCAGCCAATACGGGCGGCCAGTAGTCGTGCTTCTTTCGGGGAGACCGCTGCCACCGGTTTAGGGTTTAGGGTTTAGGGTTTAGGGTTTAGGGATGTGTCAACATGTACATGCTGAGGGTGTGTTTGTCTCCTCAACTGCTAGGTTGACCCAAATGCTTTTGGAGAGCCTGTACTAGCCAAGAGATGGCAGCAATGGCAATGGCATCCGAAGTCGCCACAGTGGAAGCCTTTATCAACAAATGTGACCTGGAGGGCTTGCAGCAGTTCGTTTCGGAGAACTTCAACTGGAATCAGAACCTGGCAGAGTTCAAAGTAGTGCCACTTGCCGCTGCTATAACCGAGGCTGCGCAGCATAGAGAGACTTTAGGTCGAAGTACTTAGAGGATCATGGGACTTAGTAAGTAGGGTTATAATTAGGGTAACTATACTTATAACCCCAATTAGGGGACTTATAACCTTACTTACTATGTCCCATGATCCTCCAAGTATCTAGCAATGATCGAGTGGATGCTACGCTCGGGCGCAGATCCACTCATTGAAATGACTACAGGGGCTGTGTGGTATGTATGGGCGGCTGCTAACGAAGATGCGACGAAGATCACATTCAAGTACAACCGGCACTCTACACTTTCCTTCGTTTTGACGATGTCCGAACTTATGCATCTCAGGCGTGGTGGTGCAGACTGGTCAGCGGAGTGTGCATTCCTTGATGACGTCCTAGCGCTGTTCAAGAAAGTCAAGTCTTCTAAATCTTCCGATGGTAGCACAGTGCGCATTCACACGGATGTCGTCCGCTTGTGGGAGATCGCTCGGGAGATGACATCCACACAAAACGTCGTCTTCCAGACAGCGGACGGGGAAGTTTCGGCACACGACCACATTTTGATGGCTGCTTCACCAGTTCTGCAGGCTATGCTGGAGTCTCCGATGATAGAAGGTTCCACCAAGTGCATCCCGGTCAAGGATTCTTCGAGCAATGGTGTATCCTTGTTTCTGGACCTGGTCTACACAAGCTCCACTTGTCTCGAGCTCGATTACAAGACGATGCTTGTCGCTTTTGACGTGGCCCACCGCTGGCAAGTGCCACACGTCGTGGCCGTGCTTGCCGATGCTTTGCAGAAAGAACTTACAGTCGACAGCTTCGTCGAAATCGCCGAGGCCGCCATACTCAAGGGCACGGCGTCGCTTCAGCAAGCATGCGCCGCATTTGGAGCCAAGCATGACGAGATCCAGGCGAAGAAGGAGACCATGCCCCCTGTCGTGAGACAGTTGCTCGGCTTGTCCTATGCATCCTTTGCTGAGCCCGGCAATGCCAAGAGGAGGAGATTCTAAGTAAGATTCCAGTCTTGCCACAGCTCGGAATCCAAAACCCCGTAATCAGTTGTAAATAGGGTTATGCGTTTAGGGTCGATTCTGTAATTCTCGCTCCCACTACGCTACGCTTCTACCCCGGTTTTGGAAGGATCCACGGTTTTCCGCTTTCAGGCTGTGGAGCGGCTTCTTCTGGACGAGGGGATGGAGCTCTAATAGAGGGGCAATGTTTACCTATACCACTTTGGTGGTTCTTTATTATAATTATAGTAAAATGGGCTCCAAAACCCTATTCTAATCATTAAGGCCCCTAAACCCCTTATAGTAGCCCTTATAGACCCCTTGAAGGAATGCTTAAAAGGAGCCCTGAAACCCTATTCAAATTATGAAGGCCCCTGTTTTTACAGCTTTTCCCGTCACCCGTCCCGCCGATCCGACCTCTTCTGCAGAAGCGGTCAAAATCGGCCGTGCGAGCCGGTGTTAAGAGGTTTAGGGTCTTAGGGTTTAGGGTTTAGGGTTTAGGGTTTAGGGTCTAAGTCTAGGGTTTAGGGCTCGAAATTTGTCAAAGCAAAACAAGCAAGACATGTATGTCTTTCATGTGAGAGTGTGTTCAGAATCGTATATACGGTGTGCTTATACTACAGCGGTATGTAGATAGATTATGTATTACATATGTCTCTCTCTCTCTCTATGTATGCATGTATGCATGCATGTATGTATTTATGAAGAGAGGGGGGAGAGAGATAGTGAGCAGATGTATTTACTTTGCCATGTATGCACACTGAGACAAACAGCTTAGGCTTCAGATGTTGGGTGCAAATCTCCGGCATGAGATATCACAGCACCATGGTCCTAGATTGCTCTTTGACAGGTGACCTCTTCCATGGCAGTTGAAGGTTGATGAGCGTTGAAATTCCGGGCCTTCACAGCAGCCCAGTATGATCTCACGGTTAGCTCACCTCACATTTGGCTTCAGTCTTCCACCAATCAATGCAGCACCATCCTTGCCCTCTGACCTTGCATCTTGAAACTCGATGCCAAACCGCAAATGGAAGTTTCAGAATGTATGGGACGCAACATAGACCCGAAATAAGGCTAGCCCTGATATAGTGACTTCAACTTCCCAACACATCCCTAGATCCCTCTCTCCCCCCCCCCCCCCCCCCNNCCCCCCCCCCCCCCCCCCCCCAGCCTCCAGACCATCAGTCTTGCACCGGCCAAGTATACGCTCAAGCCGAACTGTGAGCAACATCGGTGCTCTGTTCGTGTTTGACTTTCTGACCTTAAGCCTTATAGATCTACAGTTTGTGGTTTACCATATGTTCTATCATCCCTACGGCCCCACGTACTAGTACTCATGTAGTATATACTTTGGCGCCTTTATGCAATCCCTATCCAGGTACTGTAGGGCTCGAGTATATGCTATTTGGGTACCATGCTTAAAGGATCATGGGACTTAGTAAGGTTATAAGGCCTTTAAATGGGGTTATAAGCATAGTTACCCGAATTATAACCCTACTTACTAAGTCCAATGATCCTTTACTGTAAGTAGGGCTCGAGTATATAGGGGACCCTAATATATCACCCCAAATAGTAGGATCCTTATTATAAGGACACCAAGATGAGGTACCCCTTAGTTTCGGAAACTCCCATTTGGGTACCAGGGACCCTTATAGCGCATGTCATTGAGAGCTGAAGGCCCTGCATTGTGTGAGGACCTTCAACTCCAACCGCCAAAGAAATCGGTTTAGGGTTTAGGGATCTAATATAGGGGCATGAAGAACTACCTATACGATTTTTTTGGGGGGTTCCTTATTGTGAATAAAGTATAATGCAAAACCGTATTCTAATTATTAAGGCCCCTACATTACAGGCCTCGGGACCAGAAGGCAGGAGCTTTATGAGACCCCGCATGCCACATATGATCACATTAGATAGACATTCCCCAGGGCTCCAAGTATACAAATAGCACCTACCTTGGGGTCTAAAGTCTATAAATCTTACCTACTTCGGGCTATTTGGAGCCCCAGGGATTGGCCTTCAAGCCGCTGACATATAGGTTCTTGGAGTCTCTATCTCTCGGGTTTTGACTTCAATCTCGAGATGTCCTAAACCCCAAACCCCGTTGCCGACGCATCTCCCCTAACCCTGAACTCTAAACCCTACACCTTAACCTTAAACCCTTGCCCTAAACTCTAAACCCTAAACCCTGAACCCTGTGTTCCAGACGTCCGGAACAAGCGAAGCGGAGAACACGGACAAGATGCGGGCGCGGGAGAGCCCAGCCTTTCCTTTCGGTCTAGAGTTTAGGGCTAGGGTTTGCGGTTTAGGGTTTAGGGTTTAGGGCTTCGGCTGGTGTAGAGTTTAGGGCTAGGGTTTACGGTTCAGAGTTTAGGGTTTGGGGTGTGGCATTTTGGATGTTCGTTTTTCGGAGCTGAGATTGTGAGGTGTTGAGGTTATGGGGCGTTGGTGGCTGGGAGCTGAGTGTCTCTTCAATTCCCAGACGCCTCAGTAGGGGCGGTGTCTAGGGATTTACAGAATTTTAGGGCATGAAACCCTTATATACCCTCCAAGGACTCATATTCTAAGGCTTTTGGGCCCAAAGACCTTATTAAATGAGGCTTTTGGGCTATTTTGATGCCAAGGGAAAGACTCCCTAAGCCGTAAACCTTAAACTATGTTCTACCAGTGCCACTTTCGGAAGCAAGAGCCGAGTGTGGCGCCCAGAGTGTGAGGAGTCTGGGGATGTTTGGGGCACAAGCCGACATCCCAGTGCCCCCCCTCACTCTTCCGACTCCTCCAAAACTATCGTAACATTACGGTTTAGGGTTTAAGGTTGAGGGTACCCTAACCCTAGATCCTAAACCCTGGACCCCAAACCCCAAACCCTAAACCCAAAGCCCTAAACCTTGAATTCGCTGGCTGTCAGCTAGACGAAGCTTCCCAGTAGCATCCTTTTTCGTTTGAGGTTCCGAGGTGCCTTCTCGGACTGGCTACAAACCCTAATCCCTAAACGCTAAACTAATATAGGGGCCTCAATAATTACCTGTATTATTTTGGCGGCTCCTTATTCGAAGTGTAGTATACTGGGTAAGGCTCCTCTTTTACTTGTAGTAGGAAGGGGAAACCTTGTCTCTCAGGGGCTACGGGAAAGCCTTTTAAAGAGGTCTCATCAAGAACTGAAAGACACGTGTGTTAGTCATTAGTTCTGAAAGTGACCTAAACACCGAATTCTGTAACACCTTTTGACCGCTTGTCATCACAGCTTACGAACTCCTCTCCAGACGTCACCCTAAACCCTAAACCCTA